GATCTTCTAATCACATGGACTTAGCCACAGAGCTTCGCATACATTCATATGCTTCCGTAGATTACAGAGTTGCCTCCAGCTGAGATTGAACCGTCAACCTTGTCTGTGAAGGGAGGGGCGCCTAGACCACTAGGCTACGGGACCCCATCCCTAATAATAATTATTATTAATTAAATTAAATTAAATTATATTAATAACAAATAAGTTTTATTTAATTATTACAGCTAACAAAATTTAGAACTCAAAACAAAAACCAATTACTATTTATAAAAAATTAAAATGCCTTAATACTTTGCAAATAAATTATATACAATTATAAAAATATGATTAGAACTTCTAAGTATGCATTTTATAAATACATACTCAAATTCTAAATAAAATATCGTTTTGATCTTTACAAATGTATTTTTTGTATTATTTTCTAAAAACATTATTAAAATATAATTTCAAAAAAATGTACTTAGAAAGACCATATTATATATACATTATTTTTAAATAAAGATTATTAAAATATTAGTTTAAAATTTAAACAAACTCAAACTAATAATAGTTCTAAATTTTTTTAATATATTTTTAAAATTCACAATCTCAAACAAATATGTAGATTTTTGCTCAAAGAAAGAAGGTTCTGTTGCATTACAAGTACAGTTAGACCTCTCTATAATTACATGAATTTTTAAAACCAACTTATATAAAACTTATAAAATTTAACCTCTATATAGACACAAACTCTATAAACTCCAAATTCTTAAAACCAAAAGTGTGATTTTGACTGTACTATAAAAATAGAACGAAAGGATATTTTTGAGAGCGTGATCTTTCTCAACTTTATTTTTTTTCGGTTAAAGCTACAACTGCTCAGCTATACAAATACTTTATTGATTTGTATCTAGTCGTTAAGTGCGGTTTCCTTTTAAAAACCCTTGAAAATTGCAATTTACTATTAAAAATAGACCTATATATGGATGTCGATCACTCAGATTTATCTTTCTAACAATGACATACGAATCAATGAGTGATGAATCCACATCGCGGAATGTGTCTTACACATTTATTATTAATTAAATAACGATAGAAAATCTTTAGTTTTTACGTAAGCTTGAGCGTAGTATTGTCTTATCACCAACTTTCAAGTAGAGATACATTATTCGATTATACCAAAGTTAAAACAATAAATAAACTAGTAGCTAATTTAATAACCCTGGCCTATTATGTGCTAACGGTTTTTTTTTTTTTTTTTTTTTTTAGATTGTCTTTGATTTTGCTGCACATTTTTACGTTTCATCGATTTTATGCTCCATGAATTGCTTGTAGGTGGATCATTCTCTTCTAAAAGTTCAAGTTTTTTACGAAATTTCTGTAGTCGTTTTTTCTTAGAGTATTTTTTAATATCATTTTCTACCAAATGTTCAGGACGGTAACTATTGAAAAGGTCGATAACAGATAATATTTTTAATATTACAGTTGCGATTATAAATGATACGTATATTAAATACTCACGGAGCAATTTTCTTTAAAGACACGTATTCATTCAAATCTTTGTCATCAGCTAAAAGGAAGTCAACTGGAGTCAGGCCAAATGAAGTTGACTTAACTTGTTTATACTTGAACCTTGTAGGAGTATCATCAATCTGTAACACATACATAATTAATATTTTAATTAGCATAAATACAGTAGAGACAGGCTATTTTAATTTATTTACAATATCTTCGTAATCCAGTTGGTAATATTCATCCAAGTACTTATCAAAAGTTTGTTTGGACTTTTTCTTTTGTTCGTTTTCTTCTCTTCTTTTTTCTGATTTCTCTTTATATAAAAATCAAGTCAATAGGACATGTAATTTTATAATGTGAATGACTAAATTGATTTAATATAAATCAAAGTTTTACTTTTTTTAGCCATTGTCTCATCATATTTTTCTCCTCCAGGTAAATAATCTGCATCCATTATAAAATTATCATCATAATCAACGTTCTCTTCAGAAACGTCTTCTTTTATTCTTTCAGGATTAGAACCCTTGTATTTATTAATAATATCTTCAATGTCTTCTTCCCACTCTGGTTTATCAACATCTACCTTAATAATAGAGATAATATGTTAAAGTTTTGTATATAAAAGCAAATATTGAAAAACTTAAAAAATACCTCTTGGGTATAGTAATTAGTATCGAAGACATTGTTCATTCTTTCGTCATATTTGTTAGGATCAAAGTCTTCTTCCAAGTCGACCTCATCAAATCCAACAGCTAAATTGAACCAAATAGTTGATTATAATTCTAATTTTAATGCTTTGGTAATAAAAACAAAAGAATATTGATAAATACTTTCGTTTCCCGTTATTTCTTTTATTTTTTGCAATTTTTCAAAAATTTCTTTCTTTTTGAGGTTTTTAAGCCTTTTAAGTTCCTCCATTTTACGTTTCTTTTCATCACTCTTACGCTCAGAACGTATTTGGCGCTGAATTTTGCGTTTATTGTCAGATCTATGCAAAAAAAAAAAAAAAATTTGAACAAGTTAATAATAATAATAAACTTCAAAATATTAGTAATGAAACAAATACCTTCGTACAGAATCGACCACATTCCGGGAATATGTGGCGACTTTCATTGCACCTCTAAATTCAAAAAAATTTGGATTATTTAAATTTAAACAGGATTAAGTATTAATATAAACTTGTCAATGATTAATCATCACTTACTCTTCTTCAAATCGAAAATTGTACTTGCTTTCGAAATTATCAGCAGCTTCTTCAAATTCATCATTCTCTTCGTCATGATGTTCCAAAATTAGTTCTTCATACGTTGGAATTCGAGTAGCATTCTTATCGATCCAACCACGGTTAAGTATGTAACTAGAAGATAAATTATGAATATTTGCTTTTTAAAGAAAAGGTTTTATATGAAAAAAAATCTTTTTCATACTCTATTAAAAAGGCTTCATCTTTGTCAACAGTAGGATCGTTTTTATAATTTTGCCATTGGTTAATAAATTCAGGGTCTTTACTATTTCCCTAAAATGTATATTGTATATTTAGAAAAATATTGAAATAATATATTAACAAATATACATGTTTGTTTTAATAAGTAAACTAACAAAATAAATCGATGAAACAAACTCACAGTCATACTTTCTAACAAGAATGCTTGGTAATCATCCTCTTCAGCTTTTAATTCTTCAGCAGTCTTTGATCGTTGAACCAAAAAATCATCGTCACCATCAATATCAAAATCAAATTTAGAAGCAGCTTTTTTAAATTCTTCCTTGAGCTTTTGCTCTTCTTCCATTGGTGTTAAATCAATCTCTGGCTTAATATTATCTTCAGTCATATCATCAGATTCCAACAAAATTTGACGATGATAGTCTTTTAAATATATTGGCTTTTTTTCTGTCTATGTGTAATATGATAAAGAATTAATATATTAACATAGTTAACATTAATAAACCTAGATTGTAAATCAACGTACTTTTTTCTTTTGTTGCTTATCTAACCAATTTTTTTGCGCCTTTTGTATTTCTTCCTCTGTAATTAATTTTTGTAAAAAGAAAAATTCGACTATATTAAGACATTACAGATTTAATTTGTATATTACCTGCGAAAAAATTGGAATGTTTGTCATAAACTTTAGGATCTTTGTTTCTTATGGCTGAAATAGTCTTCATGATTTGCGAGTCAATTTCGGGGGTTACTAATTCACCGTATTCATCTTCCTCTTCAGAAGAAGAATCTTCCTCTTCGTCTGGGTCTAGATCGCCATATTTTTCTTTAACTAGTTTATTTTAGTCAAATTTTTGGAGCTTGTTAACGTTTAGATGAATAATTGTAATATAAAAACTTTTGGTGGACCTACTTACGTTTTGAAAGCTCTTCTCCTCTTTTTCTTTCTTCATATTTTTTCGCAAATTCTTCGTTAATGGTTAATATTGGTGTTTCAAGATCCATTGTGAGGTCAGAAAGCTAAAAAATCATTATTGTTAATGCACTAATGATAATCTATATCGATATAAGAATCATTATCTAAGTTATATGCATGCACATGATATCGATATTTGCACTTTGCTTTTACCATAACATAAGGTCTATATAACTATAATATATCTTTTCTAAAGTTTATACGTAGCAGTTATTTGCACTCTGGACCCTTTATAATAATATTGTCGGTGTTTTGATTCGCTATAAAAGAATACTTTTTTTTTTTTTTTTTTACATATATTAAAGCCAATTTGCGTGTTATAACTTTGTACGGCATTTGACTTCAATATATTAAAATGTCTAAAGTTGCTGTTTTAGATAGATAACTACATAAATGCAGCGAAATTTATTATTTTCAATGATCATTGTAAAACTACATATAATTCTATTAACTTCTATTAATATCAACACTTCGTTATTAATATTTCCACAAACAAAATTCTCTATATAAATGAAAAATTATCTAACGTCACTTCCTCTTTAATATTGACTAAAATGGCTGGGTTTGTGAGGTTATTATCGTTATTAGCGTTAGCAAGGAATGATTATTACTTTTAGGTGACCGTCATGATTCAATATACTTTTTTTTTTTTTGTTATAATGCCCGAAGCATTACGTGCTAGTCTTTAATAATTAAAGTTTACTTAAAATTTCATTACAATTCAATTTACAATCGACAAAAATTTTAATTTTAAATAGACCAATTTCATAACTTTTGATTTATTTATTACAATAGAGTAATTAATATTACATATAATATTATATACTAAAAAATTTATTTAATAAAATATATATTGGTATCAGTTAGCTATATCTATAATTTAGATAATACCCAGGCCACACGACGTGGACGTCGATACCAAAAAGTGACCCAAAAAAGAAGCTTTCACAACCTGGATTTGTAAAAGCAAAAAAAAATATTTGTGCCCCCAGAGAGATTTAAACCTATTATAAAAAAAAAGTTAAACACAACAAAAAAAGTCATACCTACCTACTCTCTGGGAGTAAAGGGACCTTTTCCAGGTAAGGAGGGTGGCATCTATTCCAACCCGTTCTTCACGCTCTTCTTTGCGCGGGTTGGTCAATGCACTATAAACAAAAACTACTTACCTTGAAAGAAACCCATATTTGGGAATCTTTCAAAAACGAAAAAGTTAAAATAGGCATAGCAACTGAACACAAGTGTGTATAGAACGATATACTTATCTTAATAAAAGTCTATAACTTCCAAAAAAACATACGCGTAAATATAAAGATAAAATTTATTACGAACTCGAAAAAAAAAACGTATATAAATAAAAATTTTGAATTTTCAAAATAATAACGGAAAGATTTAAGATCAATTCTATAAATAATCAGATTCGTCTGATTGGCTGATGCAAATCAATTGCCTGGGCAACTTATTTATATATTAGAATATTAACTTTAAAAATTAAAAGCGGTTCTGAAATAGGTAAAAAAAAACTTCTAAATTTAAGTACACCCAAACCAGAGTTTTGTCCCTTCGTTTTTATGATCAATTTATCGGATCAAAATGCTATTAAGTAAAATTGTTTTATTTCGTGATAACCCTCCTAGACTGTGGTTTCTAGTCATCAATTATATTTATTCACGAATTCATAAACTTGAATAGTTTATTTTAAACGCTAAGTCACGTACCCAGAATTTCTTTTGAATGACTCGGATGATACACCCGGCTGGAATTTTTTGGACACGTTACTAAAATTAATTATATTAACCAATTAGATTACAGTCTTTTTTAATTGACGGGTCAAAATTTTTGTAGCCATTACTAAATTTGTACCATATTCATCCTTTTTTTTAACATAGTTGGTAGCTCTTCTACGTATAAAAAATCCTTCCCTCGTGATTTTATTCAATTAGATCGAAAATTAATTTTAATTTGGGGTATGTACCGTATTTACTCAATATGTATATCCGGGTTATTCCCTTGTCCATTTTAGTACCCAGGGTATTTGTATCTCAAGGTGTACTGTATTGTATTTACATTTAGCTATATCATATATAAGTACAGTACACTTTTTCCTATATAATTATATAAAAAGCGTATTGTACTAAAATAAAAAAAATCATGAACAATAATACAGTACAATGCTTTAAAATTTGTTGTAAACATATACTTAATTTGTTCAAACCCACATAGAACCTTTTTGTAAATGTTAAAATACAGTAAATATACGGTTAAAATACAGTAAATATACGTATTAGCATATATGTATTAATAAATTATCAACAAAATTAAGTCAAAGATAATAAAATGCTTTTATGTAGTAAAAATTAGAAAATATTATCACTGCTACTAATTTAAGGATAGAGAGTACTATACTAAAATTATATATAAACTTAATGGTAAATTTTTTAATTTTATAAAAAATTATATTAAGTAAACTAATATTAATTTATAAAAAAAGTTTGTAAAGCAGATCTTTTTAATTTTAATAATAGTAAAATTATTAAATTTGATTAAAAACTAAGTAAGATATAACTTTTTAAAGATTAGGTATAAAAATTTATTAATTAAATTAGCTTATAAGGTTACATAAATTTTTTTTTTTTTGTTATGCCAAAGTAAAAACTTTATTAAGTAATAAAAGTAATTATATTAAAGATTTCTAAACTACATTTGTGCTATTTATTTAAGACACCCAATGTGACATTACATCTCTATTTCTATATAACACTATTATTAATTATTTCAAATTAATTTTA